GCTGAGCGGACACCCGGAGGAGCCCCGGCGTCGGAGAGAGCCCCGAGCCTCCGTGAGTACGGACCCGGCGAGCAGCGGGCACTGCTCGGGCGGTGGTGGGGTGGCTCCTGCGGGAGCCGCGGTTGGTGCCCGGGATGCTCCGCAGCCCTCTGGAGGCTCCCAGGAGGGTTTTTAGGGACGAGGCTCGTGTTTGAAGGCGGCGTTGCGGTGATTGCCCCTGCGGTCGGGGCTGGGCTGCGGGCAGCCTGCGGGTTGTGGGAGCGGGGATGGGCAGCGGCACCTGCGCCGGGAGCGGTCCCCGGGCTTGGCAGGAGAGCATCCAAGTGCCTCTGCACCCTGAGGGCTACGGGGATGTGGTCTCGGCTGGTGGGAGATCACCCCTGCGCAGGGGGATCCTTGACGGGTGAGAAACAGCATGTAGGGAAAGTGTGGAATAAGCATGGGATGGAGCGCGTTACGCGTGTGGTGCCTTTGGGATATTTAAAACCTGCAGGAGTTTTGCCCAGCGACCAGGTTAAAAATTCACATTTCGCTTTCTCAAATAGCAAAATGACTGTTAAATTCTGCTGGCTGCGGTGCCGTGGTTTTTCCAGTTCACCATTAGCATCAACTAATTGATCCAAAGGTCGCTCCTTATGGCAGGGCACATCAAGCTGTCAGCTCCTACAATGACAGGAGCTTCCACACAGTGCTTCAGGCACGCAAGCATCTTGCCATATTTATTGTATGTCCCAAGAGGTTGCTGGAATCTAACCTTTAGCAGCCTCTTTTAGGAGACGAATGGCCATCGGGTGAACAGCTGTTGCCTGTGAGCACCACTGGTTGCCAATGTCATTGATTATAGGAACAGGAGCATTCACAGAGCTTTTGCATATGAACTGGACAGGTTTTATCAGCTGCAGGAGGAGAGCTGCACCTGCTGAGGTTTGGTTTGTGGGGGGTTTTTTGGTGGTTTTTTGTTTGTTTGTTTGTTTTATTCCCGAAAAGACATTTTTATCTTATCATTTGGATTCACGTTTAGGGATGTAGGGAAGTGACCTCCTTCATCCAGTACATGACCCTGACTTCAACAGATTGTACTGATTTTAGAACAGAATGACAGCACTGTTGGGAAAACAGATATAATGTGCTCCCCCCTCAGTGGATTTAAGGATTCAAAGCACAAGTAAGTTAAAACTGACACATCGTGGAGTGAGTTCATCCTTACACACAGCTCAAGCCAAGCCCTGTTTAGTTACAGGAGTTACCCTTAATTTGATGGGAGCAGAGGAGCCTGGCTCTGGAGTGATGCTGAATTTGTAAAGCTTGAGTTTGTTTTCTGATTTTTGTATTTCAAGCACGCAGCGAGTGGGGTGATTTCTCGGGGATGGTGTTTCAAGAAACACTATATGGAATTTTTACTTTTTTTCCTAAGGCAGCTGGGGCTGTGTGTTGTCACGCTTTGATCGTGTCAGATGATGCAAGATGTAGTGAGGATGAGGCTATTGTGACCATCTTAACATGTGCTAAGTCTTCCCTTGCAGAAAGTTTGGGTACAGTGTAAAGAATGAAAATGCAGAGGAATAAAACCAACTAACGGGGTCTCTTACTGTAATTCCCTTATGTGGTATATAAAGTTAAATACAATATCAATTCTTAAACTAATTAATACTCTTTTTCATAAATGTGTGTTGTCAGTGCTCCTTCAGATTTTTCATTACTACATTTCAATTCTTAATTGATACCTTCCAAACTAAAGAAAAAATTTTTTAAAAACTTAGATGATGTAAGGAAGAGTGTGCTGGTTACTGTATCTTCTTCATATTCTTATTTAATTCCTAAACAAAAGGGTAAAATCCTGTTTGACCTATTAATTCCTAGTTTCTAACTTGCAAGTTAAAAGCCATTTATCCTGCATAGACATAAATAATGGGGTTTTACAGGTGCACATGGCACAAGACAACTCCTTTTTCTTTTTAAGTATCTTGTATGCTGCATTAGAACACATTTTCAAATTGAAAACATGAAAATAAATAATATTTTAATCCTTTTTTTATGAAAATAAATCATGGATATATTTTATTAAATAGCACATTCCAAGTTCTGTATGTGCAAATACACTAATAACGGATAACAGGATCATACTCTACTGTGACAGCACTCGCACATGCCTTCTGCTTTCAGACTTGTCAACCAAGCAAAAGCATTGCAAAATCCTTTTAGTCTGTGCAGTAGGAAGTGGTATTGATTTAACAGGACAGCAGGAGTCATAAGTCCTTGTCAAGTTATTTGCATGTACTGACAGCAGCTGAAATCACCTGTAGACATGATGGTGGATTCAAGGGGGTTTCTGTTTTGTAACTAAGGGTGTTCTTGGTGTGATTACTCAAAGAGGTCTCATAAAACATTCTCTGGCTCCGTATCTGTTGCTTGCTCACTCGCTTGATCTCTTTGGCTTTCCACAGGAAAACCTACACCATCCCTATATCCAACTTGTTAAATTGTATGTTTGGCCTCTTTTGTTTGTGCACATGGTCTGCTTAATACAGGTGGGATAACCACCTAAGGTGAACAGGATTCAGCTTTTATACAAATATAATGTTTATATTATATTTAATATCAAATATATGGATGCTTTTGGGAAAGTGGCCACATGTCTGTCTGGTGCTCAAGTTTCTGACAGCAGTCAGTAAGATCTCGAATCTGCAAGGAGTTTCAGTTACTTATGCACAGTGGTTATTTAGTTCACTTTAAGGTGGGCTGCCACCTCCATCTTTTACTGCAAGGAAATGGGATGAACAGAAGGATCACAGGTGTCACAAATTAGAAACAAACCCTCTCTTTTATTGAATTTTATACTGTTACACAATCAAAAAGAAATACAGTCACAAGTACGTCAAAATGTTTCAAGAGAAATATCAATTGCAATACGTTGTACTTGGTTCCAAAAAAGAATTCCATTAAAATATACCACTTCTTCATGAGAGAATACTGCTATTATTCACAAAATCTACTGTACTGTATAAATCCAGTAGCAAACTCTTTAACTTTTTGGTAACTTGCTCAAGGTAAACAGGGAAGCAGAAGGTAAATGACAACTCATTTCTAGAATTTGGATCAAAAATCACTATTCCTCCAGAATGGAGCTTTCCAGGGAGTTAAGTGCCTAATAGCTAATAGTATTTTTAATGAAAGCTGAATACTCAATCATGTGATTTCCTATGAAAAAAATGGCCTTCCTACAAAGTATTCCTGGCCTGTGAAGTGTTTATTTTCATGCTGTACAATTACAGTTTGAATAATGTGCTTAAGTGCAGTGACATTTGAGTGAGATGTGTGCTCTGCTCAGGAGCAGCTCATCAGTGGGAATGGGAACAGATGGCTGACCTGGGGCATGTCCAGCCTGGCTGACAGTGACAGGATGCTCCCAGCTCCCACTGCAAAAGGTTTACTCAGCAGTGTAACAGCAGAGAACACTTGCCAACAGATACTGGTGGAACAACCCCCAGTTCTGCCTTTAGCTACAATCATTTAGCCGTTTAATTAAAGAGCTCTTTAAATAATGAAAAATTACTATTAAATATGCAATAGTTTAACCTGTAATCACCAGACTTTTTTGACCCTACAGTTGTATTTCATTGCAAGCAGAGCTGATAATTTCATCCAAAATAAGCTCTGAAGTCTTTGAATTGTCACTAGTGCTATGTGTAAATTGTTCTTTTTGGCCCTAATCTGTGATTCTTTAATTCAGTATTACTTTGTGAGACTTTAATGTGCGTACACAGACACTGAAGGAAGGAAACTTAATAATAGTAAGTTGCTTCCATTTCACTCAAAGGTTTTCAAAGATCACCAAGGTCCAAGCCAGTTGCACCAGGTGAGAGGAAAGTATGTTAGAAAGGTGTATTTTGGACTAGAGGTGACCTTAATTTACCCAATATACTACACCCAAGATAAGTTACTGGACAGCAGATTTAAGTGACTTCTGAGAAGCCACAGTTGCTACTGCAACTACGTTTGGGTAAAGGAATGAACAATACCATCATAAATACTAGTTTAAAAATTCCTTTACCTTTTAGCAAAATCATCACTGTTGATGATTAAAACATCAATTAGAATTCATATTTAAAAAGAATAATTGTGCTGTGCCCTGAAGAAACCCTGGCTTGACTATTGTTGTAGTCAGGAAAACCAGGAAGCTAACTTTGTTATTCTCCTCAGTTTATCATTTCCACATAATCTAGCATGTTCTATATGCAGGAGGAAACACTGTATTTACCCACAGTTTCTTCTTAACTTCTAATGGCAAAGGATAAATCATAGAACCACAGAATGGTCTGGGTGGGAAGGGATCTTAAAACCCACTTAGTTCCAAGCCCGTGCCATAGGCAGGGGCACCTTCCACTAGACCAGCTTGCTCCAAGCCCTGTTCAACCTGACCTTGGACAATACCAGTGATGGGGCACCCACAGCTTCCTTGGGAAACCTGTGCCTGTACCTCACCACCCTTGTGGTCATGAATTTCCTCCTAATTTCTAACATAGTGCCTCTACATTTAAAAAAGGCAGCAAGGCAGTAAAGAAAGTATTCAAAATCAATAAAAAAACATTAAGGAAGCAATTTATTCTAGAAGCTTGTCCTCCAAAGTACGTTTAGAATCAGTGTCTTCCTGGAGTCTAAGGGGAAAAAAAAAGGTGGTTTAACAGGGAAAAAAAAAAGCTAGTAAAACAGAAACAAACAAACAAAAAAAAAGCAACTGAAAGGTGTACTTCTAGCTTTGCAAACTGGCATCTGCATTTACCAAAGCTCATGCAAGGCCAGAGCAATTACTATTACTTTTCCATGCCTTCTTCACTGTCTCTAGGAGGTCTGGTAAGTTTTTGTTAGGTTGGTTTTTTTCCCTAGAGTAAATCAAAACAGCTACTGCAGTTCATCCCAGTAAACAAAATGCTGTGCCTTGTTACTATGTATAGTAAAAAACACGAGAGTTGAAAAGATTCTGGCTCTCTTAAATCCACAGCTGCTGTCACTAAAATCAAAGATGATCAAGGCAAGGTTTGATGGGATTCTGAGCATCTTGGTTTAGTGGAAGGTGTCCCTGTCCATGACAGTACTGTTGGAGTGAGGTTATCTTTAAGGTCCCTTCCAAGATACACCATTCTGTGATTCCAGCAGGCTCACAACCACAAATCACATGGGTCACTTCAGTTTTCCTCCTCTTTTTAGCATGGACTTTTCTCTATGAAAACTTAACTGCCCTCTTAAAGTACACTGAAGAGGAACTGACAGATCCAAACAGGTCAGGTTCCTCCAAAATACGGTCAAGAAGGCAGCAGAACACCATCAAGCAGGATGGTGTGGCATTTCTCTTGGGAGATGCAAAGGGATAACCCAATGGGGGCAGTACAAAAAGCAGAACCCAGCTGCACTTCTCACCTGCCTGCAAGACCCTGCCTGCAAGTATCACATCAATCCGTGCAGAGCTAAGCAGGAGGGATGCCCCAACAGTGGGGGCTTTAGCTGACTTCACTGTTTAAACCTTTTAACTGCTGACAGAGAAAGAAATGCCATGGAAAGAATGCCAGCCCCGAGACCTCGCACAGTAGGCAGGCAGGAGCTCTGCTGCTTTCAGCCACAGAACTTTGTAAGCTCTATAGGCTGCATTAAAAATCTTTACTATTCAGTGATGGGTGTATACAGGGAAAACGTTCTCTGCACGAAGCTTCAGCTCCAGCTGAGTGCCCCTGCCCACTTTATCCTCTCTGTGCAACTTCTACGCAAAACTGTGACAAGTGTGTAACCACCTGCTGCCAATGCCTTATCTTGCTCATAGTGTCCTTTTGGCTTAATACAGTTGTGGCAGTTTGGATAGTGCATCTTTCAGTGAAACAGTCATTTTAGAGAACAAGTTAAGCTTATGTACTATTATACTGATTTCAAAGCAGTGCAATGAAACCAAAGTTTACAGCCTTAAACCAAAGTAATTCCTGTGAGACTCCACAGTTGATTACTTACAGAGAGATAAGTTTTTTTTAAATTAGTTTGGAGAATGCACAGAATATCTTGACCATATTTACACAATACAGGGTTATACCAGTAGCATCATGTTTTATGACACCAAACTAAGAAAAGTCACCGAGTCGACAGGACAAGAATGTAGAACAAGTTTTATCAAGTACCAGCCTAAATTTTTAATCACGGAGTTTTGTGATAAAAACCCATCTTAGATCGATCGCTCCCGTGAATTTGATTTTTTCCTGCTTTCCTGTGTTACCTTGATAAAGCTTCCAGAGACAAGCCTTTAAGCTGTTCATAAAGGTGAATCTTTCTGCTCTAAAGTAACACAAATATGCTGCCTCCTCGCTTTCAGGTTTGCTCACTGGTGTGATAACAGACTGAGAAGTGTCACGTCTTTGGCGAGTGGTAGTACAACACTGTCTAGGAGCACTGGATAGGCTCAAATAATTAACGCAGAGATGTTACAATCAAAACAAGGAAGCAGTGATTTCCAATCAACTCTAAGTTAAAAAGGGAACACGGATGAACAATAACCACTAACAAAAATATAAATTATCTCATTTCTCTCAGATAACACACTCCCCAAGGGGGCCTGGTCCACATATAGTTTATTGATGTAAGAAAACAATACAGTTAGTGTTAGATCCAACCACAAAGAGCAAAAGAATGAGTGAATGAAGGTTTTGTACAGTACATATAGGAAAATAAGATGTTTGTGACAACTATATATTTCTAAATAAAAAGGCTTCTAAATATATTCAAGTTATTGAAATCTACATGAAAACATATGGATGTTAATAGCAACAAGGTGCATAAAACCAAAACATCAAAATATTGAGCAACTCAATGTTGTACTAGATAAAAGTTTGCTAACAATGCAAGATGTTTTACAATCTGCTTGAAATATCACCTATACCACACAGGGTAAGCTGAACATTTAGATTTAAGATCATACACAATATTAGCATTAACTTCAACAACTACAGGCAGGGATTTTTTTTTTTTTTTAAGCTGGCAAAGTGACTACTTTAAGAACATCAAACTTTCTCTAAATTGAGAACGTATCCAAATAAAATGCTGCTAGCCCTTTCCAGATAAACCCTTCCTTTGACTAATTGACCACACTCATTGAAGTCAAAAGCGTAAGACAGCATTTAAGAACAATTTATATTACAACGTGACTAAAATAATGACATAATCCAGGTTTAAACATGTTTTCATAGGCAAACAAAAGATTCTTCTTAAAAACTAGTTTTTATAAATGCAGAATATATTGCATGAGGAACTGCTGGTATTTTTTAAGAAAATATATTGTGCGATTGTGGCTACAATGCACTGCTGCAAAGCATTGTTGTTTCTTATAAAAACTATTAAAATAAAAAACTTACTTGAACATAAAGAGTAAGAGAGCACAAGTCTTCCAACTACCTATGAAAAGCAGCATGGAAGTATTGCCAGTTTTTCCTGTGTTGACATTTTACTAATGGTAAGTTTTGGTGACCAACTCCCCAGCCAAAAAATAAATATTTTTTTTTTAAAATTAGGTGCATATTTCAAAGCTGCTATTGCAAGTGTGTTTTAAATGTAATGGACTTAAAAGTGTATGTACCAAAGAATTATAAAAATGCACTATAGTTTGAGTTATTGTTACATAAAGAACATATTAAAAAGACTGTCAAAATAAGTAGAAAGGGGATCAAAACTGAACTAACTGAATTAGTGCAGTACTGTAGCCAGGCTTCTAAAATCAGATATAGAAAATATAAATAGACTGCTTTAGGTGATGATTCACCAGTGTCCAAAAAAGGAACAAGTTTTGTGAAAGCTCAGTTAACTTGATCCAGAGCTCTGAGCAGTTCTTCACCCTGTAGCAGGTTTCTGTTGCCTTGTATGGGAGCGTTTACTTCGCAGTCGTAACTCGTGAGTTGGGGGAGTCCACTCTCATCCATCGACTGCCCTAGAAGTTTACTTGCTATGTCTAAAGAGGGAGGGGAAGGAGAAAAAGTGCACTTTATTCACCATGCTTAACCTCTCCTCCAGAGCTGTTCATAAGGAGCTAAGTTTGGATAGTTCTGGCCTGACTCAGTTCTTTTTCACACAGTCCCCTCCACCCCCGCTGCCTATTAAAGGAAGATACCAACCAGTTGATAGTAGAATGATTGTCTTTTGCTCCACTCCATTATGACCATTTGTTTTGCATCCCTTTACACGTTTCCAAGCAAGTGATGCATTTCCTCCACGGTCTCCTGTCTGCTGGAATAAAGACCCCTAGAAAGAAATAAAATGAATCTTCTTTATTGAATACTGTATCTTTCTATCCCTCCACATCCCTCTTCCAAATTAACAGTTCCCATCACTAGTTACTAATGTAGGCACTGATACAATTTAAAGTGGCCTTTGTTCAGAACTTGGGGAGAAATGTATTTACAAGTCCACTAACCTTGAAAATTACTTAAATGAAAACTGAATCAGATTTCAAGACCTTACTTCCCTTACAGAAAACAATTACTAAATCCTGGTTATCACCAGTTACCACAGTCAAGATTAGCGTGTACATGTACACATACACACCCATTTAATTAGCACTGCTCTGGTGTGAGTAAGCATCAGGTCTACACTGGAGTCTCTAATGGTTTTCTGCACTGGAATTAACAGTGTATAGACAGGAGATTCAGGAACCTCAGTAGGTCGATTCTATCTAAATTTAAGATGTGAATTCTGCTTGCACTCCAGTTATTGCCTTGTGGGGAATGCAGTCCTAAGCCAGTCTACTGCAGATACGGCTCCTTAGCATATTGTTTTGACAGCAGCACAGAAGATATGGGGATTAGGAAGCTGTAAGGGCTTCATGTAATTAGGATAAGGAAGAAGCAGCTGCCACTGAAGCAGATGGAAGGAAAAACCGCGGTCTTAGTATCAAGTTTCCTGGCAGAAATAGTTGAATCTGCAAAGTTTGGTCTTGTTAGTACTACTGACTGCTGCAACAAGAGAAGGTATTTCAGAACCCTGCCACTACAGCCAACACTTAAAACAGTAAAGAGCATGTTTTCAGATTATGACACCCATGCAAGTCAAAAGAACAGATGTATAATAGAAGGTACAGTTTACTCAGAAGCTGCAGTTCATACTGAGGTCAGTAGTCACCTACATTGTTGCTGGTTCACTTTTTTATTGTGAATGCAATCCAGCCCTTCATTTTAAGAAAAGTATGGCTCATAACTGTTCCAGTGTAATGATTTAGAACATTATTTTATAATCAGACTACGACACATCTTGCCCTCGCCTAATTCTCCTGTTTCCTAGGAAGCTAAAGGAGTACTTTACTTTGGTCTTCACTTATTTTCACTCCTTGCAAAATACATTCTGCTTCCCTAAAGCTAATAAGTTGTGCCAAGTGTTTGTACAATTCCAGAATAGCGTGTATCTCAAGCCTGGATTTAACATCACTTTTCTTCTGCATGTGTGAAAGGCCTGTGTATCCCTCTCAGAAATCCATTCTGGAGAAAGAAGCCAAACAGCAAAAGCACTTTCTTAAAATAACATCAGTAAGACCCAGCTTCATGGAAACCGAGCTTCTGATTCTGAGAAACCATCAAAATATTTACAACACTTTTGTCAGATACAGAAAAAAGAGAAAGGTTTAGCAAAGGATGAAGTCTGAACCTGTAAGCATTAAACTGGCACTAAGCACAGAAGACTGAAAACTGTTACAGCAGTTAATACTGAACTGCTTGTGTTTTGTGTATTTAATGACATCCCAAGCTATTTTGAATATTTTGTCAGCAACACTGCAACAGCTGTAGCACCACTACATGAGCAAAGGGCAATGGAAGGCAACAAAATTTCTTGCAGAGCTATGAATTCTAATATGGCTTCTGGAAGCAACAGAACAACATGCAAAGCATTTAGCAAATGAGAACAATGGCATAATTATGATTTAAAGAAAAAATAAAGTGTTTGCCTCATAGAAAAACTGGACATATAAAATCTTTCACAGCTCTTTTAGCAGACAGCAATGATAAAGACAACAAACAGTGATTTATCTCATGCCCAAAGCAGAATACTAGCACAGGAATAATGCATAGTTCAGAGGAAAAATAATCCTGCACTGTAAGACATGATAGGTGACTACAATTAGGAGATGGACCACTAGAGAAACAAAGAATCTCAAAGGCTACATTGCAGTAGAGGAAGTAAGACTTAACTGTGCAAAACTTAAGTGAAAATTTGCAATGAAGGCAAGAAGAGAGAGAACAGTGTATGATGGCAAAGCTCAAGGGCTCAAAAGACTAAGAAGTGACAGCAAGAGACAAAGACTATGGAGACAAAAATACCCCTGCAGAAAATAACAAGCTGGACAACCCCCAATTAAGTGACACAAATATAAGAATATCTAAAAAGTTTCTTTTGAATAGTTAGGACAGATGATGACGACCTACTCCAAAATCACACACACTAATTCTAGACAGAGTGTGCATGGAAGAGAGTGGTAGTAATAGAGATTGGCTAAGTTATTATAGGACTTCTATTCCCTCATGGTTCAGATGGTCTTGTTATCTCATTAAGTAAAGGAATCTCAGACTTCATGGAAAAATGAAAACACAGAAAGAAGCATAAGAACACTATCTCTGGTATCGACAAATATGAAAACTGAGTTTCAATTCAAAAATGAAATAAATACAGCAATTACACATTTCAAGGTGATGTCTTACATTTGTGCATATCCTACTGAAGAACATGTATGTTCAGAGAAGAGTATCTTCTACCTAATCAAGAAATGTGCTTGAGAGTAGAGGGCACTTTTGAAACAGCTGACAGTAAAAGAGAACTGAAATTGGAGTATCTGCATAGATATATAAATATAAATTTCACTATCAAACAATTAATTATTTCTGATCCCAAGATTCCATTGCTTATCAACAGCTCAACTCAGGAGTCTGCAGTGATGCCTCATTTCAGAAATTGCAAGGTTAAAAGGGAATATTTTAAAATGGTAAAACAAAACTCACAATTCCAACTGCCTGAAAAAGTGAACCATCATGTTCCATTTTTCGTTTTCTCTGAGCATTATGCAAAGCTAGCATCTTTGGATTTAGTTCTTCATCCAGTGCAGTAGATCTAAGAAAAATTGATTCAGGCTGTTAAGATGTTTCTACTCTCCTCAAGCCATTCTTCTTTCGTGGACACTTATATATACACATCATCACAGAACTGAATTTATGAACTCTACTACTTTTCATTCATAAATTGACTCATTTCAGCAATCACTGTCTATGAGCATAGCAAATGTTAGCTTTTAATCTTGCTGTGAAGCTCAGAATGAGTTTCAACAAAAATTTTTAAATCTGCAGGAAAAAAAGCATAAAAGTTCAGCAATTTACTTTTGAAAGAAGGGAGAGAAGGGTGAGGGAAAGTCTTTTCTGAACATTTCTATGTACAGCTAAATCTTTTATGCATCATAAAACTGATGTTTGACTTTACGTAGTTCTCTATTGTGGTAAATGTCTACTACATACACCACAGTCCATCATCATAAAATACGGCTCATTTTAAAAGCAATAAATGTAGCTCAGACTGTAGCTGCCCCTTACTTCTAACAAAGTGGACAAGGAAAGCACCACAAATACTGTGTGGGTGCAACTACCTGTAAATTGCCTACTGCCTTCTTGTCCAAGGGCTGCATGTCAGGCACAAGGCAGATCAAAATCTGAACACAGTCTGCATACAGTAGCTGCCTGTTACATAAGGTGCTTATGTAAAAGCTACCGTAAAATTAACTTCAGGGAGGTTTACTATAAAAAAAAAAACAACACAGACTTGTTTGAAGTGTCCAATTTAAATGTACCAATTCCTACTTTGAAGCAGAATGCTGAAGACAACATACAACACATGGCAGAATTTATAGGTGTATTATATCTAGTTCCTTGAACCGACACTAGGGCTTAAGCTGCGCTTTCAAAATACCTTTTGTTCAGAGTTACTGTTAGCAAGCTGGGTGCTCCTGGAGAAGGTTTTTCCGTCTGATCCACTGTTCCTTTTCCTGCTCTGATTGGAGAGGCGGTTCGACTCCTGTTCCCGCCGTAAGGCGACGCCGGGGCACTACTCGTGTCACTGCCCACGTGCACAGGAGACGAAGGGACGATTATTGCCTTCACATCGTCCGCACGTTCCGCCGCCGGCTTTATCTCCTCAGCAGGGCTTGGCGGCGTCTGAGTCTGCTGAAATATGGTAATGGTGGCTGCACTCTGAGAGCTGGAAGAGCTGCTTTCCAGCGGAGAGAGCTGATCAAAGGATCGCAGCTGGAAGTCATCATCCATCGGGATGTAAGGAGCCAACATCTCCAAATCTAAATCGGTTTCCTGGAAAAGACGAGACGTAAAACTTATAAATATGGAAGAAATCTCAGCTAGGACTTCATGGCTTCATCAAGGCTCTTCCTTTCACCAAATCTTTAACTATTTTTTTGCACTTTAATAAAAATGTTACATAAAGAATGAAGGAAGTTCCTGAAGACGTCCTAAGGAGAAAGAGAAGCACATTCAGAATAAGTATGGTGATGATGAAGACTTTTAAGTTACTGTACTTTACCTGAGTAGAGAACGGATTTTTTGCTTCTGTATCTATGGCAAAGAGTTTCTCCACTAATTCCAGTTTGAATTCATTCGCCATATCATTATCCACGTCAAAGCAGTAGTCGTTGGGACTACTGGGCTGTGAAGACATTTTGAGCACAGTTTTAGGTTTCCCTCATTACACCGTTTTGCACTGTTACCTACAGATTCTCTGAAATACATTCTAATTTAATTTCAAACTTAGTGGCACGAAATTCAAATGGGAAGGGAAAACACTTACACTTGCCTGTATACATTCAAATTTACCCCACTTGGGAAGCACTTGCCTATCTGGAACCTGGAAGTAGCCCCTACAGTAACTTATTACAACTACTTTGCTGTTTAAGGAAGTTGTGTCTGAATCATTCTTTTCTAAAAAGACCAATCCCAAGCTCTCCCCATTTCTATCAGATGGTATTGCATGTGTTTGCAAGACTCGTTTTAATGAAAAGATATGAAAATTTATCTGTTTCCTCAGATCATGGCGTGAGCTTAAGTCACAAGGTAGAAATAATTCCCAATTCCTGTCCTGGCTGCATCCTTAACCAGATTTGCCCCACAAGCCCCAACAGCACATACATTTTAATGACAGCATATCCAAATTACGAAACTAACCTCAGGTGAACTTTGGCTGGTACTTGCATCAGAAGGGCTGGTTGGTTGCTCTTGCACCTGAGGCATGGTAAAAGAAAGTTCGAGTGGCTCTGTGTTTGGCTCCAGCTTTAATACAACTTCTCTATTGAGTGCAGGATCAGCATTGCTACGAAGTGGCTTTGTAGTTTCAGAGGCAGGTAGTGGGGACATTGCCATATTTATATTCTGCAATTTCTCACTGGATGAGGGGAGCATTACATCGTTATACAAAGGAACTTCATCACATTGTTGTTCATCAGACTCTATAAAAATTAAAAGAAACCATCAACCTAAGTAACAGCACTGTGCGTGTCTATGGACCTCAATAAAGTTAAACAGCAGCTGAAATACCACTGGGCAAGTGGTACTGGGAGGTTATTTTTTGAAATCTACTTTAAAATACTAACTTTGCTAATTAGCATGCTTTCCAATTTAAACACACACCCACCATTACTGCTGAAATCTAGAGAGATAATTGTGTCTCCAGCAGCTGGGGCCAGCACAGTTAAAGCATCTGGTTCCTGTTTAAGTTTTTCAAAGAGGCTGTTGGTGTCATCCAGGTCATCTTTACTGAATATTTTGGTCATTTTCATATCAGGAGACTCCACTGGTTTCAGCATACACTCAGTTTGTCCAAGGGAAAAAATTAAGTCCTTCTGAACAATTCCACTGTCAGACAGAGAGGAAGATGACTGTTAAAGAACAGCTAAAAGAAATAAATTTTGGCTTAACAGTTTTGTAAGTTGAAACCCACCCCCCTTCCCTAAACAAAACAAAAAACCCCACCACACACATCCCACAAAATTACCAGGATAAGGGCTTTAAAATTTCTTTTTTTCTTACTTGTTCTTTCCTCAAAAGTAACAGACAAAGCAAGTACTGACTGTAGGGCCATCAAAAAAAAGTAACAAAAATAAACATGCTTTTCTGAAAGCATTAAGGAAGACAGAAAAAAAAAGGGAAAAAAAGTTAGATATTTCCTAAACTATGTATGTACATGCAATATCTCGACAGATTTATACTGGTACATTCACTAAAGTTTTGAAAAGCTAATTTAGGACTATTATACAATTGCAGAAAAACAGTCAGGAAGTCTGCTTTGAGTTGAAGCTTTCAATTAAAAGAGGAATTCTAAGGAAGAAAAAGATAAATGGGATTATAAAAGGCACCATTACTGCTGCTCTGACTCCATGACTACAAGTTACTGGTGGAATTAACTGCTCAGACAAAGATTAGAGAGTTTTTTGAGCACACAAATGCTCAAATGCTTACAGTGAGACAGTATAGAAGAGGCTGGTCCTATACTCATCATTACATCCAAAATGCGTTTTGTTTTCAAATATAATTTCTTATCCTAGGACTGGCAGTATTCTAAGCAAAAATTCAATTCATTTGTAGGGAACAGTAATATCATAACATATTCAACAGCGGATGGCATTCTCAGAAAGTTGAAAAAAAAAAGATGTAGTTCCATCAGAACCTGACTTTGTCTTCGATAAAGATGACGACAAAGAACATCGAAGTCCACTCAACTTACCTCAACACATAGTTTACACACACTATGCACTGTGGCTGAGAATTCTTAGTGTTGTATATAACAGTTGCTTGAGTTTCAACCCAGACATAGCCACCTTGTTTTGCCAGCATTCTGTACTGCCCTGTTGTCACCTGCCCTTTTGTGAACACTAAAAACAGAAAGGACACCAGCTTTAATTACATGCAGAAAAAAACAAAATCATTTAAGGTAAACATCCATTGCAGATTCATATATGCACTTAAAAAAAAAAGCTCTTGTTCTGCTGCTGCTTTCCCCCAGTGCTGTCTCTCATCCCCTGTAGTTGGAGGACTTTAAATTCACTTTTCACTTACTGTCATGGTGTGTTTTGGTCAGATGATCAGAATCCAGTGCGTGATAGTACTCATAGATTGAGCGGCCCAGGAGCTCTTCTGGCTCATACCCCATCAACTCTGTAATTCTTTAAAACAAGGGAGAAAATGACTATGTAAAAGCAGACACAGACAAGCACAAATACTAGAGCATGTGGATGCTTGCAGATCTAAAAAATCCCTAAGAGTGACTTCCATGCACACCAGCAGCAACTGCGTCTTACCAGGACTTTTAATTTTGAAATAAATTGCTATTTTTATGCTTCTTTAAAAGAGAAATTTCAGCAGGTATAGGATTCTGCTTCTCATTGAGTATTTATAGTGAGATAGGATTAAGCAAATCCCTGCTTTCTAGACACTTGTAATTTTTTTGCTTCAAGGTGGACCAGCTACTTACAGACCAGCTTAGGGAAATATGAGAATTTAATAAAATAACAACGACACACTTCAACAGTTTTAAACCTGCAACCAAGAGAAATGAGAAATCAGATTTAGTCTTCCCCCTGAAACACTGCCTGCTTTTAAGGAAAATGGGATTTCTTCAGTCTCTAGAGGGCAGTGCTAACAAGGGCAGAGCTTGCATTTTGCTCCATTATAGATGCAGAATAAGTACCTTTTATGTGACACCATCAGTCCTAGAAAGGTAATTCCTGCAGAGGAGAGAAATAACCTGCACTAACCTCCTTTTGTATCTAGTTGCAGCAACTAACTAGAAGTTCACTTATGTTCTAAAGAAAAGGAAATGGGCAGTAACAAATAACACCAAATTAAAAACAAACAAATGAAACAAACAAGCCCCAAACAACAAAAAACCTCAGGGCTGATTATTTCCTTCACTTGGGTTTATCAAATTTGTCAAGCTAAGTGTCCACAGGATAGCAAAATCAGTCTTTTGTGTTTGCTTACACACCTGATTTGTACCAAAACACAAAAATCTCATTTTTCAACAGCAGATGTATTGCATTAAAAATACAGCTGAACTTTGGGATTTTTTTTCTACTGAAGAAAGCAAACACTGATCTCTTGAGGAAGGGAGAGGGGAAGCAATAGCAGTAAAACGCATCTGACAAGTATTACATACACACTCTTTTCAGTCACCAAAATGTCCCATATTTGAGAAACCTAAAACCTTCCTGTTTTTTCAGTGTCTGGAAGAATCTTCTCATTTCAGTTTAGCCACTGTCACTGTAGTAAAGACTTGTTTGAACAGGCAGTTAACTGCAGGCAAAGGATTTATTCACAGAATGGTTTGGTCTGGAAGGGACCTTAAAAATCACCTTGTTCCAACACCCCTGCCATGGGCAGGACACCTTCCACTAGACCAGGTTGCTCCAAGTCCCATCCAATCTTAGATCTCATCCCATCCTCCTTAGATCTAAAAATCTGGCTTTGAAGGTATCCTGATCATTCAGTAAAAACCAAAGTATCCCACCAATGACTCCACTGGGGAGATGAATCGAGTTATCAAGAAAGACTATGTAAATGTACAAGGCAAACATTAGCCAAATTAATTATTTTTTAGAGTATAAATTATATATATTACCTTTCATCACAATAGGAAAATTTCATATCGAGACTGTGACGACTGAGGAACGTTTTACTGTCCAAGGGGACCTCAATGTTTGATGGGTGAGGAATAGGTTCACAGATCAACACCAGACACGTCATGGGAGGCTTTTTGTAGCCACAGTGAGTTTGGTTACCACACGTGTCGTACACACGGATGTGTCCAGTGCAGTGCAGCACCTACGGGGAAGGTGTATTTTAAAGAGAGACGAGGTTCTTGTCTGCCAGACAACACACTCATATTGCCATTAGCACACCAGAGCAAAGTCCTTCCCTCCCCACCCCTCGATGTGGTAGCAGCCAGAGGAAGGAGCAGTGCTGTGGGATGGATGGAGGGACAGCTACAGGAGAGCAGTTGTTCTCCACCCTGTGATGGGCACACAGGCTGTCAGCTCCTTCCCCTCAGTGCTGCGTGAGGCAACACCACAAATTGCTGCATTTCTGTGAACTGCTGCTCTTTGAAAGTTACAGTAATGACACTGATAAGCAACTGCCTCAGCAAGAAGCATCTTGCTGTTTAAATTTGAATGTTACGGTAATAGCAGCAACCTCCATTTTAGATCTTCTGCAGAAGTGATGTTAGGGATCCAATATTTCCTTCAAAAGACAAGAAGTTTTGCATTTTGTGGGGTTTTCTTTTAACCATTCTGAAGCAGAAATTGTTCACGGACAGCAGCAAAGAAGTTGTTTGATCCAGAGTAATGAAATTCAAGTTATAAAAGAGAACTGCGAGCCATAATCCACTCGATACAGTAAAAGGTTACTTTTTGTGCAGAGGAGAAAATGCATTCACTGCAGAAAGTTATCAGGCTGGCCTCTTTTTGTTCCAACTGTTACAAAAGGGAGAGCCAGCAGCTTGAAAAGAATGGCATTGAAGTCCTTCAGAGAGACCTCAACTGTCACATTTTCAGTGTCAAATCAAAAGAAATCAGGGATCAGCATAAGTGGTACCAAGTATTTTTTTCCCAGAGAAGGCTTTATGCAAACATATTTAGTAATTACAATTGTTTGTAAGTAAATTACCTCTAACTTAAAATGGAAAATTCATTAGAAGAGTCTTGAAAAACTAATTTTAAAACATTGTGTCGGTTACCTCTGTGATGTATTCAGCATTAAAATTCAGCATATTGAAGCACAGTCATTAAATTATAAAGTACTTAGTGAAACTCAAGCTCGTTACATGAAGTAAAAATGTTGAAATACAGTGTTATGACATCTGAAGAGGAAGCTGCCAAATTATGTAAATACTCCGTTGCGTTAGTTACCTTCCAGGTAGCAGACTTTATATTCACTGTTCTTCCCCTGCTAGTCAGTGTACACTTCATTCTGAGAAAAAAGCTGCGCTCCGTGTTTTGCTCTTTGCCCTTTTTCACAGGACCTGGCAAAAGCAGACAGCAAACCAGTTCTTAAGCTCTTGGATCGTCACGGTGCAAAAAATCCCCCAGCATGTTAGAGAACTCTCAGTCTAGGAGAGGACTCAAAAAATAAACCAAAAAGATGGATAAGCCTAACAGCATTTTTGATAATAACACTTTTCAGAACAAGTTTTACTATCGTGGAGACAAAAACCTGAAGTTTCATAGAATCAGAGAATGGTTTGGGTTGGAAGAGATCAAAATCATCTAGTTTCAACACCCATGCCCCTAGACCAGGTTGCTCCAAGCCCCATCCAACCTGGCCTTGAACACTTCCAGGGATGGGGCAGCTACACTTCTCTGGGCAACCTGTGCCAGGACCTCACCACCCTCATATGGAAGAATTTCTTCCTAATATCCAGTCTAACCCTGCCCTCTGTCAGTTAGGAGCCATTCCTCCTTGTCCTGTCACTCCGTGACCTTGTTCGAAGTCTTTCTCCAGCTCTCTTGGAGCCCCTCTCAGCCTGTCCTCGTAGGAGAGGCTTTTGCAGCCCAGTTTCAATGTTTTAAGATTAGTATTGTTTTTGTAGTCAACTCCACACTCACAGATTTCAGGAAAAAGGGATGGGGGGGAAAAGACTGATTGAAAATTTAATATTTTTTAATGTTGTGGCAGTGGACAAGAAAAGCACATGCAGAATGAGAAGCCCTGTTGAGTTGGTGTCCCTGGAAATGCATCAGTAATTCAGGTTCAAACCAAATACCTTTGGGCCTGTAGCTCTCCAGGACTGCAGTAGCTTTAAATTTTTCAATTCAGAATTAACAATTCTGCTGTTTACATGCATCCAAATACTTCCATGGCAATTTACACTCTTGGAGAGTAAATGAGGACCAGGTTTTTAAACACATTATTAGCATTCTTGGGCAGAAAAAAAAATTGAGAAACCCTGATACAAATCAAGGTTAGCAGCAGTAACTTTTTAGCTTTAGTTGCTACCAGCAGGCTTAAAGTTAAGATTTTGTTTTTACAGGGGAGATCCTTTCAGAGTCAATTACTAGTTACACTGTTGTGGGCAAAGAAAATGTAACTGATGGTATCAGGAGAGCTGCAAGCAGCTCACAATGGGTGGGAGAAGGAAATAAAGCACCCAGGAGAAGGAGCAGTGGGAGAGCCAGTTTGCTGAGGCTTGCCAAGGAGCAACGACCGAATCCTGGCAGAGGGGAAAGTTTAGAACTTATGACCTTGCTTCTGGTACAAGTTTATATGGTAATTTGCTCTCATCCTCCACAGATAATAGTAGCTATGAAATTCTTCAGGGTGGCTTGCACTGCAGCTACTAGTATGACAAAATTCATTAGAAAAACATTAAAACCCCAATACCTACATTGTCTATGGCTTCTAGTGGAGGCAAAGACTAACGGGGTCAAGCCCATTTTAGGCCACATCAAAATATCCTCAATAACGGGGCAGGGGAACTAAAGCAGAGTTCACAGAAGCAACTAAAACTTCTTTAATTCAATATGTTTTAAAAGAGTTAAACCAATCTAGAAATCGGCAGTTGAAGGTCACACAACATTATTGTTACCAAGCCCTGATGCTTAAGGCTCTGCTTTACAAAGCAACTGTAAAAGATGGAGCAACTTTCTCAAGTCTGATTCAGCACTGGGGATTAGTTTTTAAGATCATCAGCTTTGAAAGTTTAAAAAGCAGCTTCATAAAACGAGAACGCAGTTCTGTTTCTGCCAATCACATTCATATTCACTTACACTCATACAATCCCAAAGGGGAATATTTAATACCCAATTCAAAACCAAAATAATTCCACTGATGTAAGAGCTGCAGTAGAATGCAACCTGGGAATACTAATAAATATAAAAATGTACTATTATTACTGTAATTCAGACTTTTGTCTGCCAACTTCATTTGCAAGACAGCTTTTGTAATAATGCTTTCCAGACATCTTATTCCAGTCTGGCCAATTTAGACATGCTAGAGCTGGGTTTGTATGAAACTCAGCGAGATGACATTTTTTAAGAATAAGCTTTTGCAACAAAACCAGTTTTTTTAAACTGCTTTAGGGAAGTTGTTTCCCCAGCCCTGAGACTGCATTACTGTATTCCAAAAGTGGGAGCTGGGGGGATTCTAATCTAGCCTTAGAAATATATTTCAGTACTAAAGGCAGACAAGTTTACAAAATGCTTACAAAACCAAAGTCAAGGCCCTTAGTGCTATGTTATCTTATCAGGTCTCTTCCACTCAATTAGTAGGATGACAACATAAGACTTCTGATTTACAGTGCTACCTGAAAGCAGAGGTCAGGTTTAGTAAGTCATCACTATCTGGATTCAGAGTCCATATAACCCCTGTTTGATGAAACAGAAATTATAGAGGTTGGATTTTAGACTTCTAACTACTGAGTAAAGCAGAATTGTTTGGAGGCAGATGGGCTGCCAAGTCTTTATAGTCATTATCAGATCTTTAGAAGACATAAAAGCAGTAATTCATGGGCAATTGTTAAATTCAAAAGCATACAGAACATGTGAACACGGTGTTCTGCTCCCTCAGACAGAGAAAAGGAGAGTCAGAAGTCTGTGAAAAGATACCAATTTCATGCACCAACTAAAGGGTGCACAGAAGCATCAATCCCAAAGCCCTTTTTGGGGCTGTTCAATTCTTCCCCAGTTTGTTTTTTGGTGTCCTAAAATTCAAATACAGTATCTTTTCTTGTGTCTTAAGTATACCACCACACTTTTCTGGAAGAAAGCATTTGCTTTTCAGTTGTCCTGTAAAGGCAAGCCCAGACCAAGACAAATGCACCAACTGAACCTCTCCATGTCCTTCTGCAGTAATTGCTTAAAATCATTCTCATTCAACCTACCTTTAATTTTATTCCTGTAGGCACTTGAATTCTTTCAACCCTCAAGAACTCCATTTCAGTCATTAATTTTGTTAGATTAAAGAGTAATAATGAAGTCTCATTTTTCCTATAATTAGGATATTGCCAAAACATTTTTGTTATTTCTGTTATTAGTATCTCTCAACAAGGTTTACTTTGAGATTTAAGCAGAAAAGCACAGTAGTTTGTTCACTCAAAACCATTTTCTGGCAGATATCCAACTGTATTAAAGCCAACAGGAACTAACCATAAGTAAATTAAATTGATTTTTTTTCTTTTTTCTCACCATTTCTGTGTGTAAGCATTTCTCTCAGCTCTTCATGGTCACATGGATGAGTGAAATCAAATACACTGTGCCCCGTCAACTCAAACTGCAAGAAATAGGAGGTATATGGGTGTTTAACTTCACATATACAAAAATGGAACAGCTTTTACAGATTTGAAACAGTCTTAGGAAATGTCAGTATTTCACCTGAGTGAGTCCCATGCACTTGTTCACATTTTCAGACATGTATATCATGTCCCCATCTTCAGACAGAACCATGACAAATCCATCAAGAGCCTTCAAGTAGAAACAGTTCAGTTCCTTCTCCATTTTGGCTTCTGTCTCCAGCTCACCTGCAAGCAGTCACACATTTCTGTTTAAGTAAACACCACCCATTCTTCACTTACCACCAGAAATTACATCTGGCACCACTCTGCAAGAAGCCAATCTTGCAGGACCATTCAAACCCAGTATAATGCATTTAGATAAGTGATCAATTCTTCAAGCTCCAGTAATGGTATCACAAATCACAGAAAACCAGAGTGAAGTTAACCCTCTGTGCTTTTATGCATTAAGCAATAAACCTTCCACCTTAAGGAGAAAGTCTACATGGCAAAAAATATTACCATTTATGTCAAAAAGGCATTATCTCAAAAAGGCACTACAAACTTCACTCATGGGCTTGCTGGGAGAGATTTCAAAGTCTGGCTACTGAACTTACTCCTCTATACTTTAAAGGTAGATGTGCAAATAACCAGTACAGCACTCACAGCACTGGTTCATAACCTAACTCAGATACTCCTGTAGTTGCACGGGCAGGTGTAACTGCAGAGACAACACATCCTCAGCTAACTTCACCTTCAGTGGGGCACAAATCACAAAAATATTCCTTGCAGTTCATATTAAGGGGATACACCCACAGTCAGCTCAGCCAGCCTTGCACCAACTGCCTACAGCTGAGTAAAGCACAGCTGGAACAAACAAGTGCAGGAAGGAAACTAACTTTGGGAGAAGCCTCAAATGTGACTGAAAACGGCACTGCAGCTGTGATGAGCCAACCAGGATCACTAGAACAGGGTGGGATTCTGCCCCATCACTCCCTTACCAGCATCCAGCAGCTTCCTCATGCGCAGGTAGCTGATGGTCAGCCTCATGATGGACGCCTTGTCCAGGTGTGCGCTCACGGTGTGGGGCAGAGGCAGCTGGTGGGCGAGTTCATAGAACACTTCGGACTCCTTGCTCCTTCGGCACCGGGCCGCATCCCTTGACTTCTCTTTTCTGCGTTCAGAGCTAATCCTAAACAAACAAAGCTGCGGTTAGCATAGGAAGCAAGAGTTCTCTGTGGAAGTTAAATTTGAAACTAAGCTGTCCAATTAAGCAGTTATCGAAGTTGAATAATTTAAAACCTCAGTTTAAAAGGGCAATTGTATCAAGTTCTGCCGCGGCTGGGCTCTGCCAGGACTGAATTCAAACCTACAGAGTCTTCCAACAGGATCAGTTCTTCAAACAGACATGTGCGTACTCAGAACTGTTCCTGCTTCTCTCATACCGTGACTGCTGCCTCTCCAGCCTTCAAATCCTGTTTCCTAACCCCTCAGGTCCATTCAACATACTACAGAGTAGGTTATTTCCAGCTCATGTACACTCTCCAAGTTCATGCTTTTTTTACTGTCCTTACAAAGCCCACCTCACAAGTCAGATGAACAAGGATACTGATTTAGTATGAGATATCCTGCTTTTCAAGTGATCCAGAAAGTACCTTTCCCACCTCTTTCCCAACCTAAACTATTCTATGATTCTATGATGATTCTAGGATTCACTCTTTCTCCAGCCCCTTCCATAGTCTCCCCTACACTGGAAAACTCAGAAAATGCCTCATTCTCTTTCCATGGCCTCTGTAGACTTGCCTCCCCCACAACACATGAGGTAAAGAAGAGCTCACTGAGAGCAAGCACCGAAACAACTCAGCCTGTCCATCTTTAACAAGGATAATTCCCCCTTTTCCCAGCACCCACATCTCCCTCATGCATCTGTCACATGAGTTTTGAACTAAACATTTTGAGATGGGAGCTCCAAGTTTTTCTTGTTCATTTTTCTTTTTATACATTTATGTCTTCTGAATGCACGCTATCTCCATTTTGCACACACCTGATTCAAAAGACAATTGCAGTTTACAAATTACTTTTTCAAATTTCAATAGACTTGAAAGCCATGTACTATCACTGCCAAATTCACATAGCTAAGTCTGCAGATCTGTGCCAAAGCACTTTTTAGTTAGCACATATGTTGTGAGAGCACACAAATTATAGAGCAAGGCGATTCATGGGCTAATATTGCCTGGGACATAATGAACCAGGCATAGTATCACAGAATGGTCTGGGATGGAAGTGACCTTAAAAATCATCTTGTTCCAATCCCCTGCCATGGGCAGGAACACCTTCCATTAGACCAGGACACTCCAAGTGTTACCCAACCTGGCTGTGAACACTTCCAGGGACAGGGCAGCCACAGCTCCCCTGGGCACCCTGTGCGAGGGCCTCAGCACCCTCACTGTCAAGATTTTCTTCCTAATATCTAATATAAATCTCCCCTCTTCAATGTAAGTAGTCAAATACATACCCAAAAGAACACGTTTTCAGACCTTTACCTGATGTCCTACCCACAACAGCCAAAAACTTTCTTAGTTTGTGCAGAAACATGCAAGCAACAATACTATTAAAACAGATGTTGGAAGCACGGAACACGAAAGAATTGTTTTTATTGAAACATGAAAGAAGCTTAATAATCCATGATAAAGACAGAGTAAGCCATAAGAATCTCTTCTACAATTACCTTAATTTTTTCCAGCTTCATAAAACTGTACAGCATCCCCACCCATTCCCAATCCCACTGTCCTCTCCTTCTGCCTCCTGCCCCTGCCAGCAGAAGGAAGCACTAGCGGCTTGATTTTCATAGTCATAAGTTTTATAAGAGCAAAGAACAGGATGTTTTCTCCTTTAGTGGCAAAATCAGGCCATTAGATTACAGAAATACTATTTTTGTGTAATAAGAAACATTATTAAATCAAAATAATAACAAAGATCTTTGGAAAACTAACTTATGGGAATTATAGCTGGAAAAAACTCTGGACATACAATAGTTCTGTTGGTTGCTGTGTATATAAGCTCAAGTCCTAAAGAAGGGTAGCTTAAAATATCTGACTGTATTTCCCCATCTTGCAGATTTCTTCACATTCAATTTCCTTATGACAACAGATGTTCCTGCTCTAGTCATGGATATCTTGGTCTGAGAAGCTTGAGGCTCCTGACATACAGGTATATCCAGAAAGAGCCATTACGAAAAGTCTGACCTTTAACAATACTGAAAAAATATTTTAGCTATTTAACCTCACTGATTAAACATTTCTTACTGAAGCCAGGCCTCAAGTACCTTTTCTCATGATGGAAGACTAAGGGTGGAGGTGAAAAAACATCTGAATTCTCTTCTTCCTCTTTCTTGGACCACAGATTTCACTGTAAACTCAATTTTGTCAAAGGTATTTCAAGGTAACTGTCGTGGTTGAACCCCAGCCCACAACTAAGTACCACAAAGCTGTCTGCTCACTACCTGTCCTGCCCTGGTGGGAGGGGGAGGAGGACTGGAAAAAGGTAAAACCCATGGACTGACATAAGAATAGTTTAATAATTTTAATAAAACAATAATTGTAATGATAAGGGAGACAACAAAAAGAGACAGAGGAACAAAACCCAAGACAGACAAGTGGTGCACAGTGCAATTGCTCACCACCCACTGAGCGATGTCCAGCCCATCCCAAAGCAGAGACTGGCGCCTCCCGGTCAACTCTCCCAGTTTATACACTGGGCATGACATTCTGTGGTTTGGAATATCTCTTTGGTCAGCTCAGGTCAACTGTCCTGGCTGTGTCTCCTCCTGGCTCCTTGTGCATCTCCTCACTGGCAGAGCATGGGAAACTGGAAAGTCCTTGCTTGACTCAGAGTAAGCACTGCTCAGCAACAACTAGAACATCGGTGTGTTATCAACATTATTCTCATCCAGTGCTCATACACAGCACTGCACCAGCTACTAGGAAGAAAATTAACTCTATCCCAGCTGAAACCATGACAGTAGCCCAAGCAATTCTGCTGTCTTAGACAGATTCACCTTTATACCTCTGATATTTCTTTGTTAGCCACTCATTCAAGATCCCATCACCTGCAGAAAGTTCATCCTACAACAGAAACTCAAGGGAGAATTACTGAAGTAACTGGTTTCTCTTCACTCAGATGCCTGCAGTTTTGTCATGGCTTCCTTTTCAACTGCAGACACTTTTAAGTTAAACCCCCCTCCTTGCTTTGGCAATGAGTGCACTCCAAGGCCACAGGTTTGTCAGGCTTGTGTGAATCACACAAGGCACGTAGAGAAGGACAACGCAAGAGATGAAAATAGATGGTAACCTCACAAGCTGAGCTTTCAGCCCTTGTATTTTCTTTCTGACAGCCTAACGTTCTTGAAAGTATTTTGAGTAGTTTCTAGATTTTTGCAAGGTCTTAGCACAATTAACAGCAGCCTTCAACAGGAAGAGTTAAAGCTTCTCACAACAGCGGAATCACTAATTACCGACCTAAACGCAGGTTAAATCGAGCTCATAGTGCTTCTGTTAAAAATTAATCCTGGAGTAAGATCCTCAAGTGCCACCGGCTGGAGAGCTGCCTGACTGTGAGAAGGGCAAAATCCAAGGAAAAGGACGATGCTGGTCCCAACCAGCGCTGTCCGAGCGGCAGCGTCTCCTCTCCCTTTTACTACGTGTTTCCTTTCTAGAAAGGCTACTACTATAGATAGATGTTTAAACTGTACAGCACAACAGTTTGCTATTTTTAGCTGCTATTTAAACCAAAGCTGTAACCAATCTGAGTAAAACCCAGCCATTTAAATAGGAAGATTAACTACCAGCTTCAAAGAGCATTTCTTTAATGGATCAAATTAATAGGGAAAAGGTCTTTCACAAATGAGGTTTAATTACCAAATGAAGTCATTGTTGCCTCAACACTGAATGCCACCAAATAAAAAAAAAAAAAGGAAAAAAAAAATCCTTTACTGTTGCAACTACTCTGAGCTTTGTTACTTACAATTGCATAAAGTAAATGAAAAAACACACTTCAGCATATGTAGCTGCCCACAAATTTCTGCGTAGCCAATTAAATGATGTTGAATTCCTGTAAAGAAAATGTATTGCCAAAGTGAGCACTTTCTCAACTAGGGGAGAAAAAAAGGAAGCTCAAGGGAGAGGACTTTAAACAGCAAGATGTGAGCTGCCACAAAATCAGTTTAAATAAATCCTATCACTTCTCTCATCACTTTTTTTAAGAACTGCCCCTGTGTACAACTCATGATCTTCACAACAGAAATACCATTTTGTAGAAATGGAACCAAGTCCACTTAAAACAACCCCCAAGCTTAAGAACTGTATTAGAACCTTCTGGTGTCAGTCTTGCACAGAACGAAAACACCTGAAGAAAATCTCAGCTGAAGAGTGACTGTACATGCAGTGAAAATATCAGAAGTGCCAGTGCTGGACAGGAAATTGCACGAATTTGCAGGTATGATTTGTCCTGCACAATTCCAGTGCCAGACATCCATTTCCATTTTGTATTTCTGTCACCAGAATACAGAAGCAGAGAGCAATCATAAGCACATTGTCCCTATAACTCACAGAAAGCAGTGTTTCACTGACCCCTTTAAACTCAGTACCAGGCATTTTCTATATATAAGAGAAGTTTAGACGCAATAGCTGAATAAAATCTGAGTTCCAGAAGTTATTTGAGTTAGAGACTCAGAGTAAAAGGGTATTTCATGACCAGGATTCACTGCTGCTGAACCAAGAGCTCAAGCTGAAGGATATAACCCAGACTTTCACTATGGTGAATAGAAACAAAGTCTTACAGCAAGAATTACCCAAACATCCTTCAGAGCAAAGCACACCAGCAGCAATCCCATGCACACCAGTAACAGATGTTAATGTGGCCTTGCTACTTGACTGTGCAACTCCTGTCATTATGGTCACAGGAACCATTTGGGCCAGAGCATCTCCCAGATAATACATACTTTCCCACACCATCCCAAAGACCCCTCTGCCCACCATGGCATATTCCTACAAGTGAGTCCCCAAGTGTCTGAATACAGCCCCCAGTTTCCATTTCCCTGAGTGTAAAACAAATCAATGGCCATGTATATACTGATTAATTCCTGCTTATTTACCACTGGCAAATAGGTTTAAAAAAAAAAAAAAAATGG